TTCTCTGCTCATTTAAAACCATCCTATTAGGGCTTGGACATGTTTGTTTAATTCTGTGGACTTGATCAAAATTCATGATCACAATTAACCTCCTGTGCAGACCAGCATTCTTTCTCATGCTGGTCTTCAGTTTTCTTGGGACCAGTCATCATTAGCATTGGCATCAAGGGAGATTATAGAAGTGACTCACCTATGACTCCCATGTCTCCATAAGGGAAATCAAAACTGGGCTTGTTCTTTGACCCTGGAATAGGTCTGGGTCTTAGGATATGATCTAAGGACTAATGCTTCATTCTCGGGAGTTGCCAGATACTATTCCTAGGGTGACACTGACCCTGTGTTAGAGTGTGGGGATATCTCATTGATACTGACAAAACTTCTTATTTATTTGTCAGTTTAGCAAGGAAGAAGATCTCCAGTGGGTCAGGAAACAGATTTGTGAGGTTGACAAGGATTCTGAGGACAGTTGTCCTATGGTGGCCGGAACGGTTTAGTTTGAGGACTTTATTGCCAGACACACCATGTCATGGCATTAATTTGTTTCCTGGGGTCCTTCTTCATTCTTTCCACTATTATTACCCTGCATTCCTGCGGGAGATTCCTGCTTGAACACCAGCACATGGGACTCTTTAGCTTGCGTTCTTGGTGTAAGCAGGAGAGGACACTACTTTTGTCTCTCTCCCTGCCTCTCATGCTAAAACAACCAGAAGTCCTCTGGCTTACTTTCATGAGTCCCTAGAAGCCCATCATCAGAGAGTCAGTCTCACTGCAGTCACGATTTTGGCTTAGCTGCTGGCAAAAGTATTGCGTGAAATGTTGGCCAAGGGCCGTGCAGGAACAGGAAGAGAGAGCACAATAAAGAGATGAAAGCACAAACTCTTAAGTAAGTTTTCGGCACTCTGCCTTTGTTGTGTGACTCAATATGCACAACAGTCCCATGAAGCAGAGTTTATTTAACATCTTTGTATCTCACGAAGAGATGCAGTGCCACATGCGGGTCCATCCTACTTCATGGCACCTTTGTCCAAGGTCTCTACATTATCGGTGCTTCTCATAGCTGCTTGGTGTCCACTTTCTTTGTGGACAGTACGACTTCACACACACTGTCCTTGGTGTGGCCTGTGGAGAGGCCACTATGCCTCACCTGATACTAGGTTAGCATCAGAGTGACATGGGAAAAGGTTGAGAGTGGAAGGGAAGCCTCCACAGATGGCAGGGCATGGAAGAAGCCCTCAAGGCTTGCCCTGGCTCCAGGAGGCACAGAATGAATTGGGCTTTCCCCGAAAAGAGAGAGCTTCAATAGAAAGTGGAAGCAGGTGAATATAAATCAGCCATGTAATGCTGAGGCAAGGAGGGCAAGAGAGCCAGAGAAGGGATACATACTTGAGTGAGGCTGGCCTTGAACTAGACGCTTCATGGTCATGCTCAAGCCAAATAGGTTCCTGATCTACACGATTGGAGAAGAGTGACAAGAAACATAGACCATTTGGAGGAAAGTCTGGAATTTACGGAAATAAAGTCTGTGGAGATACTGTAGCAGCTCTGGTCACTCATCATGAGGTAATGTCATCTTCAGGGGATAAATGAGATGACATAGACCCTTACAGCTTCATCTAGGAGGAGCAGGGCTTATAGACCACTTCAAGGAAATAGAAGAAATTGATCAAAGTCCCCTTAGCTTCTTTATACATGAAATCTACTGAGTTTCATGGTAATATGTACGTGAAGCCAATTTGTAAACTCTAAGGAGACAGGAAGAGATTTGGTCATTGGAGACCTTAAAAATTTAACTCTAGGGCTGGGCACGATGGCTCATGCCTGTAATCGCAGCACTTCGGGAGGCCAAGGTGGGTGGATCACCTGAGGTCAGGAGTTTGAGACCAACCTGGCCAACATGGTGAAACCCCGTCTTTACTAAAAATACAAAAATTAGCCAGACATGGTTGTGGGTGCCTTACAATCCCAGCTATGCAGGAGGCTGAGGTAGGAGAATTGCTTGAACCTGGGAGGCGGAGATTGCAGCAAGCCAATATTGCGCCACTGCACTTTAGCCTAGGTGACAAGAATGAAACCCCATCTTAAAAAAAAAAAAAATTTGAACTCCAGACTAACACAGGCTAGCTCTGGGGTACTAGAAAGTCACCTCTACCTTTAGTTTCAGCATTCTTAAGAGACTGATAATACCTACTTTATCAATGGATGGACATGTTGGAAATCAATTGATCGAGAATATATAAATGTATTTTGTAAACTATGAAGAATTTTATAAAATATAACTTCACAGTGCACAGATATCTAGTGTTGTTTTTTTTTTAATAAAACATGCAGAAAGAGCTTATTTCGGTATGTGATGTATTCTAAGATGAGTGGTGATAGCGGCTTTAGTACTTCATTGTGATTTCTGTTCTAGCATATATGCTCTTAAAACTGTAGAGTAAAGGGGAAAATAAATATGAAAAATATGCTTTGATGTTTCCAAATGGAGCTTTTCAAAATGTCTTTGATGGACATCGTTAATATCAGAATGTCAAAATTGAATGTAGATGTATCAATGTCTTAAATAAAACCTATTGTCCAGCTTAAGAATTATCTCTCACTATAGTAATATCTAACTAATGGCATTCATAATCATAATCTTTTCTACAATATTTTTGTAAGAGGTGAATCTTAAAAGTCACACAAATAGCTTTAAATATTTGTGTCTGCCTTGACAACAGAAATCAGTCAAGAAGGCAGCGGGTTTATTTTTCTTTAGGTGGGTAAATGTGATAAGATGGATGGTGCATTAAAAAATAAAGAGCAGGACTTCTCCAAGCTGATTTGCATATTGATTACTTAAATTACTACTTAATTTAGTGCCTGCTAATAAACTGTGCCTTAGAAATGTTTCCCAAGCATTTATTGGCTGCAATAATTCTACCTACAGTGTATGCAGATCACAGCCTCATTAAATATTAATGTGCTCATGAAATGTTAATAGAATGTTAATGTGAAATACAAGGGAATGTGTTCTCTGGGAGCTGGGAGCCGATGAAAACTACCTGTCTTCTGTCTTTTCTTTATGTTCTGTCTTCTGGCTCTGTTTCCTTTTTTCAGTTCATTTCTGGAGCTTCAGATTTTCTCTCTGATGTGGCTGTCTCAAATACAAAATATTTACAAGGGATATAAGATTCACTGATTAATGGCACTTAGTTATTCTCCCCTCCTGCTTTCTGGAATGGGAATTTCTGGTTAGAACCAGAATGGGCTCCCTGAAAAGGAAAAGGGTTATTCAGGCTGAGTGAAATGAGCTTCTCTGTGCTTGGGCAGACTGCTTTTGTGTATGTTTTGGGGAGGCCAGCCCATTGCCCAGCTCACCTCAATGGGCTCTGATCTTAATCTCTCTACCTGGGTTGTTCTTTCTCACATACCTTGACATAGCGAGATCTTTCTCATCACTTGATTCTCAGTAGTCTGAGAACCTTCCTTGATCACCTGGTTATCTAAATTCCCCTCCTCAAGCATCCCCTGTTACTCTCTGTCAATCAACAAGTATACTTTATTTTCATGGCACTTTTGATAAACTGTAACTACCTCTTTTGTTTTTGTGTCCTTCAGTTAGAATGAATACTCAATGAGGTCAGGGCCCTTGTCTATCTCGTTCTCCATTTTATGGGGCTCAGCCATCTTCCGGGTACATAATAGGTGCTCAATTAATATTGTTGAATAAGTGAATAAAACACCTGTCCCTGCCACAGAAGAGTTCATAGTCTGTGGAGGTAACAAAACAGTGAGTCACTGCACCGCATCATTGTAGATGCTACTGAGAAATGATCATTCAAAGTGGTGTAGCTATTAAGGAAGTCCCAGACAACTCTTACTGAGGATGAATTTTGGAGAGGTAGCTTTAGACATGGATAAAGTTCTGTAACTTTAGAGTTTTGTTATTTTGTTTTGCTTTTGTTTAATCTCTTTGTAGAGTAATTCCCATGGTTGAGAGTGATATGAACATCTCAGATTAGCTTAAGAAAAGAGGATAATTTATTAGATGGACAAAAGGATTTTCAGAGGAGAGATTGAGCAGCCAAAGGAGAAAGACAGGGAAGTATCTGTGCTATAGGAAGAGGGGGACCAGTAAGAACAGGTGGAACCAGTCTCAGACACTTCTAGGTCTCTCACTGCCTCTCGTGTCTGTTTTACTTTGCCTTTTTTTCTTTTTTCTAAGGGCCAACATCCAGGTCGCTCCTAAGTCCACATCCTGCAGTAGCACTATCTTGGATCAGTGCAACCTCTCCTTCCTGGGTTCAAGCGATTCTCTGCCTCAGCCTGCCCCCTAGCTGGGATTACAGGCGCCCAACACCACACCCAGTTAATTTTGGTTTTATTTTTAGTAGAGACAGGTTTTCACCATGTTAGCCAGGCTGGTCTCCAACTCCTGACCTCCAATTCTGCCTGCTTCAGCTTCCCAAAGTGCTGAGATTATAGGCGCGAACCACCATGCCTGGCTCCAATTTTCCTCTTAGTATGAAGTCTCAGGGAAAGACTCTGATTGGTCCATCATGTCGTGTTTTCCAGGCATGATGTAGTCATCTGATGCCAGAGGGTGAGATCTTCTAAGACTATAGACTTCCTTGAAAAATATCCTATTGAAATTTGAGATGAAGTCACAGAAGCAGTTACTTTTCCCAAGAAAAGAGGACAGAAATGGGAGGACAAGAGAGTCATTTGGTCACTGAAGTAAAAATCTCTTTATTGTACTGTTCCAAAATGCTCTCCACAGGCTCCTCTGTATAAATGGAAACCAACAAGCAAAATATCCTCTTACAGGCCTGCAGAGGGTTGTCAGAGATTTAGGGGAGAAAAATGAGACTTTCAGGTCCTATATACTTTGAGTACTAGTCCTGTCCCCAGTTTGGGGATCTGAAGTGCATCTGCGTATTCCTCTGTTGGAATGAAGCTGATATTCTTGATGTTTTCAGCAATTGAATTCCCTTTCTGATCTATTCCCTTTCCCATTACAGATTGTGCTTGAGAACAGTAGCCGAGAAGACAAGCATGAATGTCCCTTTGGCCGCAGTAGTATAGAGCTGACCAAGATGCTGTGTGAGATCTTGAAAGTGGGCGAGTTGCGTAAGTATACTTATTTCCCATGTGGGTGTGAAGCCTGGCAGAGTCCCAGCTTCAAGGGTTGTGCCCTTATCTGTATGAAGAAATCCCAAGACACCAACAGCTTCTTATGGTCGTCACTGTGGATAGGTTGATTATTTTTTGGCCCAAGTTTACAGCATGCATACTTTTGCATATCTGCCCTGGAAATAAATGTTATTAAAACCTCTGGGAATGGAGAAATTTTCAGATATTGTGGCTGAGTTTCAAATAATCATGAAAATGAGTATATAGTAAAACAGGTGCTTCTGTTCTGGAAAAAAAATCTGTGGATTTCTTTTTTAAAATTCCAGTTTATAACCTATCAGTAGATCATTTTCTTTTTTTTCTTTCAAAACAATTTTTCTCTATAAAGAAAAATTGAATGCCTTAATGAAATTCTCTTGCTCCCAGTGTTTCCATCATTCAGAATACTTTCTCTAAGAAAAAAGAAATTATTCAAGAAAATAGGTAGCTGAAAATGAAAAATGTGGTCAGAAATATTTTTGTTGCTCTTTTTCTTGCTTATATCACAAAACTTATGAGAGTACATACAGAAAAAGAAAGGATGATAAATTTCTTGTCTTTTGCTCATTGGCATAATTTGGCTTTAACCTATGAAGGTGGATATGATTTAACCTGTTCCCATTATCATTGTCGATGATGAGCCTTCTCAAAGTGGTTTACTTCCGTTTCATCTAACATCTAGAAGCCAGCACACATAAATCTTTCCTCACAGGCTTAATAACATGAGCACCAGAAAAAGACTGTTTATACAAGAAAAATGTTGGTGCGTTTGTTGGTATTACTATGAAGACATAAATATTCAGTTGCCTGCTTGAGAGCTTAAAATAAGGGTCTGAAATGATTAATGGGAGGAATCTGGTAATTACATTGGAAAGGGAGTTATGTTTTATTTACAGTGTAGAACTGACTACAGGTGCTGCTGAAATAAACTAAAAAATTTGGTACTTAGTAAGGAAAAATACTAAGAAATTGACCAAGTAGGAAACTTTACCATCTTCCAGTGAGGGCTATGGGAGGAAGCAGCCGATATTTACATGGAACATGAGCATTTTTGCTTTGGAACAGCAGCAACCTAACCTGAAAGATCTGTGCGTTCATCACCTCTGGTTTACAGTTCACCAAATGTGAGGATTTCTGTTTACATGGATCCTTGACTTGGGTTATTTTTCTTACTCCCTAATTAGACTAACTCACTGAGATTTCAGTCTGCACTATCATGTACTGTTTACTCAGCTTAAGAATGTAAGTCCTAAATCAAACAAATCCTGCTGAATTCCTCCATCTGATAACTGTGACTGTTTCATGTTTATCTCAATTTAGTGGAGGAAATTAGTGAAAGTTGCTGGCTGAAAAGCATGTCTGGATCATCTAGGAGTTAGTATTCAGGAACTGGAGTGAGTAGTAGTGTTCGACTAGGCAGGTGTGTCTGTGTCCAAGGTAATGCTCTGTACTGCCCTTCCTTGTCCCCTCCTTTCTGATGACACCCTTTGGCTATTCATGCTCATCTTGATGGCAGCAGAAGGCACACTGCCTATATGTACCTTCACTCATGTTCTATGATGTGCCATGCATAGCTATCTGCTTCCCCCTTTGCCCAAGGGACATATGTCTGTCCTGCTAAAAGTTAATACAGAAGAGTGAGCTGGTATTGGAGGGGGAGATTGCTGGGAATAGAGGGGAGCTGAGTTCAACTCTGCTACTTAGGGCCTCGTGTCCCTAAGTGAATTACTCACAATCTGCACTGTGCTCCCACACTTCCAGGTTCTCTCCAGGGCAGAATATCTAGAAATGGATTGGTAGTATTTTGGGTGATTTGAGTAGTTGTGTTCATTTTCTGGCTGAAATTGCAGTGATCTCAGTGAGAAGAGCTCTTTGGGAACAGCTTGTATCCAACCTGCGAGGAATAGCTTGGAAGAGATGGCTGAATTCCAGAGCACGTGCAGGCAGGGAAAACATGACCCTGACGTGGGCTGGCCTCTAGGTCAGTGGGTCCCCATGCAGTGGGCAGAGGGGACCACAGCTGGCAAGAGTCTGGGCAGGTAGTCCTCCTTAGGTGTGTTCACTTTGTACTTGGGGATGGGGCGGAGACAGAATAGGGGATAGGGCTTGATCTCTGGCAGGTGTAGAGTGGCACTCCTGGCCTTTCGAGGACCTTGTAGTCAATCCAGGAATCAGGACAGAACCCTATTTCTGGGCTGAAAGAACAGAGTGGAGATGAAGGCAAACACCTCAAGGGTCCCTGGAGGTTCAGCAGATGCTTTTCTTGCACTGAAGACTGTTCCATCTCCCACCTTCTGGTGAAGAGAAGACTCCCAACTTTCTGCCACAACTCACTCAGGCCCAGTTTCTGCAATTAGATTGGGCTTGGAAAGCTGAGGCCTGACATTTTCAGAGCAGTCTGTCTTCACCTAATATGACAAACACATTTATTAATGTGTTCAATTAAAATCTATCCAGTACATGCCACGGACTATGAGGGACACTGTAGGTACAAAGGAACCAGTTATGGTCCTTGTCCCTGCAGAAGTTCAGAAAGCTTCCTATACACTTAGAAAGTGGGAGAATGAGCTGGGACTGACACTTTTTCTGTGAGTTTTGTCATTATGTTTTTTTTTTTTTTTATCACATACCCATCATCTGTCCCTAAGCATAATTCCCCCAATGTTGTGGTAGTTTTAACTTTAAGTTTTTAGTTTGACTTATTGTTTGCCATCATCTGCAAAGCCCATTCTGGAAACTTGTCAAGGCTTACAAAAAACATTCATGTTTCTGAAGCCTACATGCCCAAATGAGTTGTTTTCTGCTCATAAAATATTAAAGGATTGTTACATTCTGACTGAATGCTAGACATCAAATGATAAAACACCCTGTAGTAAGAGCAAAATTGCTTTTTAATGGATTGCTTTTTGCCCATTGCCATATTAAATAAGTTACTAATATGCAAAGCAAATCTGAATACATCCTTATGTTGAAGAAATGTCTATTTTTCTTCTGAGGAAAATTAGATTTACACACAAATCTATCTTCACTTGGTTTGTATATGTCTGTTTTTCTCCATTCCTAAGTTCATGGTTCTGAGCACTTCTCAGATTTGTGTTAATAATTAATCTTGAAGACCATGGCCACTTTAGTTCTATAAATAAGTGCTAAGACCAAAGAAGTACTCAATTAAAAATCTATCTGGTGGAGAGAAAAAAGGATGTTTACAAAAGTAGAAAGATCCAATTTTCTAGAAAGGGTTCCTCTTTTGATTTTAATTTTCAGTCTCTTGAGGAAGCCCACTTCTGAAATACCAATTATATTTGGGTGTCTAAAGCAAACATATTAATGTTCAATTAATTACTGGAAGCAAATATTTATGTACAGTTTTCTAAGGTTGCTTTAAAAAAAAAAGCTATTTTTCTTCTTCCCAATTATTGACATTGCAAGAAGCAAATGTTACGTCTAATAGTGTGGTCTAAAATAATGTCTTTTAACATTCTCAGAGCACTTTGTCAAGGTTATTCAGTTGGAGTCTGTAACACTCTTAGGAGGTAATCAGGAGCAACAGCATCTGTGTTTATTAGTGAAGGGAAGACTTGCACCTACTGCAGATTGTCTGAGTTTATGGAGCTCACGCTGGGATTTACGAAACTCAAAAAAAGACAGGGTAGAAAGATGCAAGAAAGCACAGTGGTTGCATTTGGGCATCTGAAGGACCCATCTTGGAATCATACCTCAGTCACTAGTTGTATGCTTTGGGCATGCTTCTTTTCTGTTCTGAGCCTCTGGTTTCTTATTTATGAAATAAAGATAATATATGCTGTACATAGTTGGTGGGAGGCTTAAATGAGATAATGGATGTTGTCCTAGTTAGAAGATGGGTAATTTTTTGATGAATGATAGAACCTCACTTTCCATGAACAAACGGAAAGTGAAGTGAGGCAAGGCAAGAAGGGTGCTCTGGTATAAGTGACAGCCAGATCTAGGGCCTGGAACAATGTCCCTTGTTTCTTTACCTTCTGTATATGGTTAAAAGTTTTCTTTATAATCTGCTTGTTTTCATGAGGCTCTTTTGTGAGCAAGACACATATTTTCTCTTAGTTTCAATCTCAAAAATTACAAAGAAGAATACTTTGTAATACTATGTGACCTGGATGTGGTCTCATATCCCCATAGCCTGGGTTAAATAATTGGCAGCCCCAGCAGAAGAACAAGATTAAAGATTGAGGGATGATATGGTTTGGCTGTGTCCCCACCCAAATCTCATCTTGAATTGCAGCTCCCATAATTCCCATGTGTTATAGGAGGGACCCAGTGGGAGATAATTGAATTATGGGGCTAACACTGTGACCTGTCACTGTGCCTAGCTCAGCCATGGACAGGGAATGGGACTGTCCAGAGGTTGGATTAGTCATTACTCGTTATCCGTTAGTATAGCATACCTCTACTGAGTGTGTTATATGACCGCAGGATGTTGGATAGCTAAAGAAAACTGGAGTTCTGTCAAGATGGGAGAAATAATTACTTGAAACCCTTAATTCTGTCTCGTTACAGTCTTTTCTTCGGTTTCCTTACTAATACAGGAAACTATAACAAATCGAAGCCAGCTTACAGCCCTCTGTCATTTTGTCTTTATTGAGAATTGGGGAAATGCACTAGTATCTTTTTTAATGTAGCAATATCAAAGGTTGCAGAAGGATGGAGCTTTGATTATAATGCATTTCTTCTTTCATCACTAAGATGGTAGGGCTCCACTACATTACCGGCCTTTTAGCAAATGGATATTTCCGCTTCCTCAATTACGCTTTTGTGTGGGAGTTATTCTCAGGTATATTTTGAAGGGCAGGATAGACTGAAGCCTTGAAACAGTTTTGCAACTTCACCTGTTTGACCATTTTTCTTCTTCCCAATTATTGACATTGCAAGAAGCAAATGTTACCTCCATAATTAATACCTAAATAATTAGATTTCAATGT